TCTCTAGGCCTGTAGAAAATGTTTCCTGTCTGAATCATAGCAATGATGGTCAATATCTCATCACTGCATCCCAAGTCTACACTAGCAAGAAGCATCTTTGACAAGGGCGGTTCCAGAGGAAATTCTGCCATTTTCCTTCCCAGTTTTGTGAGAAGCCCTTCCTCATCCAATGCTCCTAGACTATAGAGCTGTTCCATGGCAGAAATCAGAGCCTGGGGCGATGGTGGATCCATGAAATCAAAGGATAACAGATCATTTATACCCATTGCCTTCAACGTAAGAGTAGTGAGACCAAGATTAATCCTTTGGATTTCAGGGACGGTGGTAGGGGACATTTCATTGCGATACGCACTCTCTGTATAGAGGCGATAACATTTACCAGGCCCCGTACGCCCAGCACGTCCAGCTCGTTGCTTCGCGGACGCTTGTGAAATAGGAGTGATGACAAGTGAATCCAAACCTTGCTTTGGATTGTAGACATTCTGTTTTGCGAACCCTGGATCAACAACATAATAAATGCCGTCAATTGTGAGAGATGCTTCGGCTATGTTAGTCGCAACAACCACTTTTCTCTTCCCCGGAGGGGCAGGGTCAAATATCCTTGACTGCATTTCACTGGGCAAGGCACTATAAACAGGTAAGATAATCAGCTCAGGAACATTCTTGCCTAATCCTTTCATCCTTTCATAAAGAGATTGGCAAGCAAAATCAATCTCCTCCTGACCAGTCAGGAAAAGTAGGACATCGCCTTCGGGTTCTGTCAAATGAATCTGCAAGACAGTAATAAGAGCTGCGTCCAAATAATCACTTTCTGGTTGTTTGGTGTACAGAATCTCCACTGGAAATGTTCTACCAGGGATGGTGAAGATATTGCAGTTGAAGAAATAACCGGAAAACTTCTCCGCATCCAATGTGGCAGATGTCACTATCAGCCGAAGATCAGGTCTCTTTTTCACAAGCTGCTTAAGCAGTCCAAAAAGGACATCAGTGTGTATAGTCCTCTCATGTGCTTCGTCAAGCATGATTACTGAGTACTGGGACAGGTTCTCGTCAATGAGAATCTCCCTAAGAAGCATACCATCCGTCATATACTTAATAACAGTGTCTGGTCCTGTGCAATCCTCGAATCGAATTGCATATCCAACCTCCTCCCCTAAACGACAACCAAATTCTTCGGCCACCCTCTTGGCAACAGACATTGCAGCCACCCTACGAGGCTGAGTGCATCCAATCTTACCCCTGGTGGTGTAACCTGCTTCAGCCAGATACTGAGTAACCTGAGTAGTTTTTCCAGAACCAGTTTCACCAATAACAACAAGAACTTGATTTTCATGCACGGCCTGGACAAGTTCTTTTTTCAACTTGTAAATGGGTAAACTCTGCCTCTGTTCCTGGATGGAGAGCTTCGATCTCTGCCCGAAAGTCAATGCTTTGCCAAAGGCATCCTTCTTCCACTCTGGCATATCGTAAGCCGACAAGCCAACACCTCTGAGCTCCTGAGCAAGATGCCTCTCGCCTGTCTCTGGCATGGGATCTTCCCAAGGACGATTAAGATCCTTTGGTATAGAATCAAGCATCGTTCTCTGTTGCTGCTCCCGTACTTCTCTCCGCTCCTTTATAAGAGCAGACTGCAGTGCAGCAGCACGACTCAAAGACCCCTCGGGATTCTTGAAAATCTTCACCGGTGACATATCCACAGAATATCTGGTCTGTCCTTGCAAAAACGCAGGTTCATCCTCATTTAGCTCAATTTCAAGCTCTTCCTCCGCACCCTCCTCCTGATACAGCATTCCATCCCCTTCCTCATCATACATTGGGTATTCATTCACCTTCAACACGCCTGAAGCCACCAATTGCTTCGCCTCCCACCTCTCTGGTGAGCTCATCCTCTTCAAGGGTCGCCTCGATGGAGCCACATCATCTTCCTCCACAATTCTGATCCCAGAGAGACCTGTTCTGGCAACAGGCCCATCCCTTGACCCTGAAGTTGGATTAGTACGATAAGCATCATCATTTTCACTCTTCTTCAGCGGAAGCAAATCTTTTCCGGTGTCCTGATCCACGTCCCTCATGGAAAGACTCAATTTCTGACCGGAGATAGAAATCACCTTCACATAAACCTCCTGATCCCGCTTCACTACATCCTTAGCATTAGCAACCCTCCTGGTTGCCATCTGCGATACATGCACCAACCCCTCCTTACCTCTAATGTCGCTCAACTGAACAAAGCACCCCGTATCCATCACTCTAGAAACTCTCCCTCTATAAACCTTATATAGCTCCGGTTCATCGGAATTATAACTCCCATTCCTTCTATCTCTAGTGTCTTCTCTATCATCCTCATGATCTTCATAGCCATCCCTTCGACTTCTCTCATACCGATCTCTATGCCTTCCCCTTCTATCATCCTCCTCGTGATCCCTGTCTCGCTCTCTGTCTCTATCTCTATGTCTATCTCTGTCTCTGTCTCTTTCTTTATCCCTATGCCCTACCTCACTTCTCCTATCATATCTATCCCGGTGTCTCTCTCTCCTCTCTCCGTCCCTCTCCCTGTCCCTTTCCCTATCCCTATCTCTCTCTTCCTTCTCATACTCTCCACCCTCTCTCCTCCGCTGTCGCGCCTCCAACTCAAGCTCCCTCTCCAGGTCCTTCACCCTATCTTTACTGTCAGCAATCCCCAAAGCCTTGAACTGACCCTTGGAACCACCCTCGCCATCGCCCCCTTTCCTTCCCTGCTGCTTATCGGCCCCATCGCTCGGAGGCAAAATCGCGTGAATGATGGTGAGAAGAGTACGTACGAAGTAGTCGGGCATTTCAGCCCCGTTCTCCTTGAGCTTGGCATCGAACTCGTCGACCGTCTCGCAGTTCCGGCCCAGCTCGGTGATGAATTCGGCGAGCACCTTGTCGCCGAAGCCCAGGTGCGTCTCGAGCTCGGAGCACACCTTGGAGACCAGAGATAGGTACTCCAACTTCTTCAAGCCGCCGTCGCCATCGGCGGCCGGGGCGGCGGGCATGTCTCGCGGCGAGGGCAAGGAGCCTCGTTAAGGCTTCGAGGCACGACGGGGATGTGCTTGGCTACGGAGGCTCGATTGATCAGGTGAATACCAGATCCTTCGAGATGCGAGAGGAAAAGGAAACCCTAGAAAACGAGATTGGAACGTTGGGATTTGGATTCAGCAGCAGCAGGAAGAGGAAGTTGATGGAAGCCGAAGTTTTCATTCGGGCTTCTGCCGATGCGAGAAAAAACGACGTCGTCGTTCGCGCTTCCTCTCCACCGTCCTTCGCCGTTGACGGTTTTTGCCTTTTTGATCCCGAATTTATAGAATTCTTTCAATTGTACCCTCCGCCGTTAGCATGTTCAGGCACACAATCGAGCGAAAGTGGGAAAAATTCGTCATGACAGAGGGATAACAAAATCTTAATTAATTGGGTTAAATCACGAAAAACCCCCAACTGGTATACCCGTGATAAATTTACCCAAAACTAATTTTTTTACCATAAAAAATCTCGAACTAGTACACATAAAACAAATTTACCCTCATTTAATTTTCGTTAAATTTTATGGCCAAATTGTTGAGTTGGATGACATATAGCAATTGACAGATGTACCAGTTTAGGGTTTTATTCCTTCATCTGTCACAGGTTTATGAATTTGTGATTTTTTGCGGTATTAATCTAATTTATTGAAAGGTAAATCTGTTACAAGTGTAACAGTTTTGAGATTTTAGTTGTCAAAAAATTAGTTTGAGGTAAATTTATTACATGTCTATCAATTTGGGGTTTTTCGTGGTCAAAAAATTAGTTCGGAATAAATTTATCATAGGTGTATCAGTTTGAGGTTTTTCGTGATATTAACCCTAATTAATTTGAAAACATCCTCTAATTTATACAAGGATGGTGAGGTGATCATTGTTTAATCAAATATTTGTCCGGTGATGCATGAGTAAAGCACTCGACCTTCACATATAAGGGCATCTTTGTTTGAGCCAAAGATACATGGATGGCTTTGCTAAAGGGATAATGACATAGACAATTTCTGAACTTTAATTTAACGTGCAACATGGCCCTTAAACTTTTAATATGCTCAATGCACTCCCTGAACTTCAGTCTAATGTTCAATATGGTCCCTGGACTTTTAATTTTTTCAATGTAGTCCTTGGACTTTTGGTACATATGCAATGTAGTCCTTGAACTGAACTTATCAAAAGTTCAAGGACGATATTGAACAAATTAAAAATTCAAAGACCATATTGCACATTGAATTAAAATTCAGGGACTACATTGAACAAATTAAAAAATTAGGAACCACATTGCATATTGAGCCAAAAGTCAAAAACTTTTTATATCATTTTCTCTTTACTAAATATCATATCAAGAAAAGAAAGGTTGAAATTTATTGCAAGTTTCCTCCAGCCAAAGGTGTTTGGATCAAACAAAACTCTTGCCTTCTTAATCAGGACCAGGGCCAATCAACTCCCACCTTAGAATTGGAAATCGAACTGGACAGGGCTCAATTCCTGGCCGATCTGTCCGCCCTAAAACCAACGGTGTTATTTTTTTATGAAAATTTCGTAATCACAAAAAATTACTTTATTTTTGCTCTTACTAAATAAAAATATTCCAAACCGATTTTGCCGATTGAATCTAACCTTTTCGGATCCTCTCCAGGAACCGGACCGGTTGTTCCGGTTCCAAAAATTTGAAATGAAACATCGACAATAATGTTTGTTATTCACCAAAGCTCATCTCTATTGATCTAATTACCGACAGTTAATTCAGACCATTCAACATCTTATTCAGAGACATCATTACAGACATCTAAATTACCACAGGGTAGGAAATATGCAATACACTTTCGAGCAACACGCCATTTCCAGCAAACACAAAACAGGACAACAACCCAAGAAGAAAAGGAAGAAACAGACGATGAACATCAAGAAGCACAATAACACATCCAGCAACCAGAAAGATCCCTCCTAAGCTATTTCTCATCCTCATCATCAGTCAACCTCTTCAATCTTAGGCCCTGCTCCACCACCAAACCCGTTACCTCCTCTCGGCACGTCACCGTCGTCGCTGCCCATCGGCCCATCACTGCCGCCCTGATACATCTTCGATATGATCGGACCGCACAGCGCTTCCAACTCCTTCAGCTTGTCCTCGAACTCGTCCACCTCGGCGAGCTGGTTCCTGTCGAGCCACTCGATCACCTCGTTCACGGCCTTCTCGATTTTCTCCTTGTCCTCTGGATTCAACTTCCCCGCGATCTTGTCGTCCCGGATGGTGTTCCGCATGTTGTAAGCGTAGTTCTCTAGCGAGTTCTTTGCCTCGACCTTGCGCTTGACGTCCACATCCTCGGCCTCGTACTGCTCTGCCTCCTTCACCATCCGCTCGATGTTGTCCTTGCTCAGCCGGCCCTTCTCGTTGGTGATGGTGATCTGGTTCCTCGTTCCAGCCGTCTTGTCCGGTGATCATTGTTTAATCAAATATTTGCGACGAACATTGAAATTTTCCTTCGCAAAATTTTGCTACGACCTAGTAGCGACGGAATTTTTTCCGTCGCTATATTCGTCGCAAATTCGATTTGCGACGGATTTTTCCAAATTTTTCGTCGCAAAATTCGTCGCTAATCCGGTGTTTTTTTGTAGTGAAATCTAACCCGAGTAATTTAAAAATTTCACATCATGGGGGCCAGATTTGAGACTCGAGAAAAATTTTGTGCTTTTTTATTGAGACAAAAAAAAGATCGGATCGGAATTGTCGCTCAAGGTAAAGTTGGTGCTTTTTTTTAAAATTAGCCGGTCAATTGTGTCCTAAACTTTGCTAATTTTGACCGAAAATCGCCGGTATGTACATTGGCCGTCTTATATGACACGACTGACGCTAACGTAGATAAAATTTACAATTTTTTAATATTTTTATGAATTCTTTTAGGGAAAATTTCAATTAAGGACCCCAAGTGGGGTTCTTTTCTCAAAAGAGGACCCAAAGTAAACATGGTGTCAAATAAGGGTCTGAAGTGCCCAATCAATCTCAAATAGGGGCCCGAAGTGCTCAATTCGTCTTAGGTAAGGGCCTGGGTTCGCCGGCCGGTCAAATCTCGCCGGCCGGCGAGCACAGTTACTGTTCCGGCAACCGGAACAGTACATTTCATCTCTGTTTTTTTTTTTCTTCCCTCCGCCGGCCATAGCCGGGGCCGGCGGAGGTCGCCGGCCTCAGGCGAGGCCGCCCTCGCCGACGTCGGGCAAGGGCCGCCCTCGCCTGGGTTGGGCGAGGTCGGCCTCCGCCCGTGCCGGCGAGGTCGAGCTCGCCGCATCTGGCGAGGGCTCGACCTCGCCGGCGTCCGGGCGAGGCCGGTCTCGCCGCACGGCAAGGCCGGCCTCGCCCGCAACGGCAAGGCCGGCCTCACCGGCGTCGGGCGAGGCCGGTCTCGCCCGCAACGCAAGGCCGGCCTCGCTTGCAACGGCAAGGCCGGCCTCGGCCGACGCAGGCGAGGTCGAGCCCTCGCCCGGATCCGGCGAGGCTCGACCTCGCCAAGAACGGCGAGGCCGACCTCGCCCGGCCCGAGCGAGGCGGCCTCACCCGACGCCGGCGAGGGCGGCCTCGCCTGAGGTCGGCGACCTCCGCCGGCCCCGGCTATGGCCGGCGGAGGGAAGGAAAAAAAAAAACAGAGATGAACCGGAACACTACCTGTGCTCGCCGGCCGGCGAGATTTGACTGGCCGGTGAACCCAGACCCTTACCTGAAACGAATTGAGCACTTCGGGCCCCTATTTGAGACTGATTGGGCACTTCAGGCCCTTATTTGACACCATATTCACTTTGGGTCCTATTTTGAGAAAAAGACCCCAAGTGGGGTCCTTAATTGAAATTTTCCCATTCTTTTATTATATTTTCTTTTACTTTTTTATTTTCTTTTTATTCTTTGTGGCTTGCCGGCCACTAGGTGAGGGCTCAACCCCTATGCTTATTCCCCAGATATCGTCATTGCTTCTTCTCCGGGAAAAGAAGTTCACGACCCGTGGGCCTTCTACCTATACTCAGCATTGCTCCATCATGCTTTTGCCCATTGCGAAAAAATCCCCACTGCTACCTCCCGTAGGAGTCTAGGCCGTGTCTTAGTCCTAGTGTGGCTGATCATCCTCTTGGACCAGCTACTGATCATCGCCTTGGTAAGCTATTACCTCACCAACTAGATAATCAGATGCAACCCCCTCGTTGGGCGAATTCCTCCTTTTGCTCCTTAGCCTACGGGGTATTAGTAACCGTTTCCAACTGTTGTTCCCCTCCCAAGGGCAAGTTCTTACACGTTACTCACCCATTCGCCACTGGAAACACCACTTCCCGTTCGACTTGCATGTGTTAAGCATGCCGCCAGCGTTCATCCTAAGCTTGGATCGAACTCTCCATGAGATTCATGGTTGCATTACTAATAGCTTCCTACGGCATGGGTGAGGGTTGCTCTCGCTGGATCTGACGAGGGCTTGACACTCATGGCTAGGCAAGGGATGCCCTTGAGGGCTCGCAAGCCCTCACCAACTCTCGCGCGACCATAACGACAGAAAAGAAAATAAAAAATTCAAGAAAAAATATTAATAATTGTAAAATTTGTCCATGTTAGTGTCAATTATGTCACGTAGACAACCAACGTCTATGTCAGCGATTTCCTATCAAAATTGTTGGGATGAACTATATTACCAAATTGTCAATAGGTTTAGGACTCAATTAGTACAATTGAAATATTCAGAACTGAATTGGAACAAGTAGAATTAATTTAGGATTTCTCATTGTCGTCTTCTTTTATTTGTCTGCTAGTTCATAATCATTTTTCATACATTTTTCGAGGAGTACATTTATACTAAATTTTTTTGTGGCACCAAAATCTCAAATTTGTAAATGTATAATACATTTATTCTCCGTCAAAGTTTCGTTAATGAGAGCTATTAAAAATCTATCTACATAGACACCAGGAAGGAAACATTGTTAACATAGCGCTCACATAATTTAAGTGAAATAAAAACAAAAAGCATCACATAGGTACAGACTTGGGGTTTTTTTATTTCACAAGAAAAAATTTATGATAAATATATCATGGTGGGTATATTTTGGGATTTTTGATGTCACAAAAAAAGCTCAAAGGTAAACATATCACAATGGACATAGTTTTGAGTTTTTTTATGGCTTTTTCCCAAATATTTAAGGGATATGTTCACTGAAAGTCCTAAAATTTATCACGAAAGTGCAATCAAATCATAAAAACCTATCAAATTGGTGCAATTAAAAGCCTTACATTAACTCCGTCCAACTTGGCTGATAGAAAATACTAATTTGACTTTTTTTATTTATTATTTTCTCTATCATACGTGAAGATATCATTGACGTGGCTAAAATAATATCGTTTTAGTCCAAATCTCTAAAAATAAGGAGATTAAAAAGTGCAATTTGTTTAGAGGCTTAGGGTGCGTTTGTTTCACGGAAAATGTATCATTTCTGGAAAATCCAGGAAGTCATTTTCTAGGAAAATGAGTTCGTTTTCCAGTGTTTGGCTAAAACCTAAAAGGACTTGAAAAGTTTTTTAAGTTATTTGATGAGGAAAATCTGATAGTGAAAATTATCGAAAATTTTTATATTTTTTAAATTATTTTTATTTTGGAAAAAGAAAGGCTGGCGACCGGTGGAGGGAGGAAGAACGAAAAAGAAAATAAAAATAAAAAAAAAGAAAGAAGAGAAAAGAAAAATATTAACAAATTCAAAATGAACAATTCCGGAAAGTGCTTTCACCACTTTCCTAATTTTATACATGAATATTTTTCTTGACCAAAAAGTATTTTCAATTGACTTATCATTTTCAGCAAATCAAACGAGCGAAAGTCCGAAAAATAAATTCTCGAAAAACACTTTCCCCTCGAACAAAAGCGCCCTTATATACACACGCGCGCGCGAGGAGCCACGTGTCAATAGCTGGCTGACTCGTCAATTTCCAGTAAATTCGAAGGGCAGGACTGTAAGCCGGAGGAAAACACAAGGACTAGAATTGCAATAAAACCGAAATTCGGCGTAAAAAATGAGGTCTCCTCAAAATTACAAGGACCCAAAAAAAAAAGCATCATTCAACCCGAGACGCGATCTCACGGGTCGGGTCGAACCCCCGCCCCCGACCCGACCCGCCTTCTCCCCGTCTCTAGAACTCTCTCGGGGCGATCGCGGGAGCGCAACGAGACGCGTCCCGCTCTTTCCTTCTCCACTTTTGCTTCTTCTTCTCTCACTTTCTCTCTCTAGCATCTTCCGGTCGCCTCTGGAACTTTCTCCCTCTTTCCCGCCATGGCCTTCATATACTCCTCCCTCGCTCCGCAACTTCTCCAGCTCAAACCACCAACGACAAGCGGCAACTGCAAGTGCAAGCTGATCGCGCGCTACTACTACTGCTTCGCGTTCAGAAACCAACCGCATTCTTCATCGATCCTTTCCCCGGCGCACATTCCGACAAGCTCGAACCTCCGTCAATGGCTCCGAAGACCGGCGGCAAGGCCATCGGCATCGACCTCGGCACCACCTACAGCTGCGTCGGCGTCTGGCAGCACGACCGCGTCGAGATCATCCCCAACGACCAGGGCAACCGCACCACCCCGTCCTACGTCGCCTTCATCGACACCGAGCGCCTCATCGGGGACGCCGCCAAGAACCAGGTCGCCATGAACCCCCAGAACACCGTCTTCGACGCGAAGGGCCTCATCGGCCGCCGCTTCTCCGACCCCACCGTCCAGGCCGACATGAAGCACTGGCCGTTCAGGGTCGTCGCCGGCCCCGGGGACAAGCCGATGATCGCCGTCGGCTACAAGGGGGAGGAGAAGCAGTTCGCCCCCGAGGAGATCTCGTCGATGGTGCTGACGAAGATGAGGGAGATCGCGGAGGCCTACCTGGGGCAGTCGGTGAAGAACGCGGTGGTCACTGTCCCCGCGTACTTCAACGACTCGCAGCGGCAGGCGACGAAGGACGCCGGCGCTATCGCCGGGCTCAACGTGATGAGGATCATCAACGAGCCGACCGCCGCGGCGATCGCGTACGGGCTCGACAAGAAGGCGTCGAGGGCCGGCGAGAAGAACGTGCTCATATTCGACCTCGGTGGCGGGACTTTCGATGTCTCGCTGTTGACGATCGAGGAAGGCATCTTCGAAGTGAAGGCGACGGCCGGTGACACGCATTTAGGAGGTGAGGATTTCGACAACAGGCTCGTGAGTCATTTCGTGCAGGAGTTCAAGAGGAAGCACAAGAAGGATATTAGCGGGAATGCGAGGGCTCTGAGAAGGTTGAGGACTGCTTGCGAAAGGGCAAAGAGGACTCTGTCTTCGACGACCCAGACGACGATCGAGATCGACTCGCTCTATGAAGGTATTGATTTCTACGCCACAATCACTAGGGCGAGATTCGAGGAGCTGAACATGGACTTGTTTAGGAAGTGTATGGAGCCCGTAGAGAAATGTTTGAGGGACTCGAAGATCGATAAGAGTCAGGTTCATGATGTTGTTCTTGTTGGCGGGTCGACGAGGATCCCGAAAGTTCAGCAACTCTTGCAGGACTTCTTCAATGGAAAGGAGTTGTGCAAGAGCATTAACCCTGATGAGGCTGTTGCTTATGGGGCTGCAGTCCAAGCTGCAATCTTGAGTGGTGAAGGGAATGAGAAAGTGCAGGACTTGCTCTTGCTCGACGTCACGCCTCTGAGCCTCGGTATTGAGACCGCAGGTGGTTTGATGACTGTTCTTATCCCGAGGAACACGACGATCCCAACGAAGAAAGAGCAGGTGTTCTCCACGTACTCTGATAATCAGCCGGGTGTGCTCATTCAGGTGTACGAAGGCGAGAGGGCGAGGACAAAGGACAACAATCTTCTGGGCAAATTCGAGCTCACGGGCATTCCTCCGGCCCCAAGAGGTGTTCCTCAGATCAATGTTTGTTTTGACATCGATGCCAACGGAATTGTTAATGTGTCGGCGGAGGATAAGACTGCTGGTGTGAAGAACAAGATTACAATTACGAATGACAAGGGGAGACTGAGCAAGGATGAGATAGAGAGGATGGTGAAGGAAGCAGAGCAGTACAAGGCAGAAGACGAGGAGGTGAAGAAGAAGGTGGAAGCGAAGAACTTGATCGAGAACTATGCTTACAACATGAGAAATACAGTGAGAGACGAGAAATTTGCCTGTAAACTGAATCCGGCTGATAAGCAGAAGATCGAGAAGGCAATTGATGAGGCGATCGAGTGGCTCGACAGGAACCAATTGGCTGAAGTGGATGAATTTGAGGACAAATTGAAGGAACTGGAAGGCCTGTGCAACCCTGTTATTGCCAAGATGTACCAGGGTGCTGGCGGAGATGTGCCGATGGGCGGCGGCGCTGACATGCCCAACGGTTATGGACCGTACGGAGATAAGCCTAGCTCTGGTGGCGCGGGTGCTGGGCCCAAGATTGAAGAGGTGGATTAAGAGAATTGAGGTGTTGTGCAGAAGCCTAGAGCTGTCCTGTTTTGGGCTTTTTGGTCTGTGTGTTGTGATTGAGTCCCTGTTTGAGAGTTAGAGGGATCGAGAGAATGATGTATAGTTATAATTAAAGCTGCATGTAATAATCTCAGAGTGCACATTTTCCTTTTTAGATCATGTGAATCTGATTAATACTTTCCTCAAAATCCAGTGTCCGTTCTTAAATCTCTCTTCTATCTTGAAATTTATCTTTTCCTGCGAGGAAGAGGTTTGCTTGGGTACACATTGATTGTGTAAACAAAGTCCCGAGAGCTTTCTTAGTCCTAGCTATGAGATCTTGGACTTTGGATCGGCCCCTTGTTTTGCCAATGACCTTTTGGATTCGAGCCCGTGTGCTTCTGTATCTACTACCAATCAGTGATGCTCTGTCTAATGAGCTATACGTGTGTGTGGAAAATGTTTGTGTGCAAGCGTAGTAATTCATCGAATGCAAGACACCCGAAGATCTAGGGAGGGTGTTATGAGTTCCTTACGAATGCTAAATTCCAAGCACGGATCTCGGAGCTCGTTCATTTGTGTGTTCTTAACTAGGACGTCTCCAGAGGATGCGAGCCAAACGAGAGGTACGCACTCTTCCCTGAATTACCTTATTTCTATGTAATGAGTGAGGCGTAGGTCCACTTAAGTAAGGTTGCTGGGAGTAAAAAGTTTTCCATGCCATAAGTCAATGCATTAGCTGCTATGGATACATTTCTGGACCGATCATTATCACGACATACTTGTTCGTAGGCTTGGTCGCATGTTTTGAATTCTTTCTTGGCAAAGATGACCTCATTTATGTGAGTTCATCTTCAATTGTAGTAACAAAAGAGGAAAGTGTTATTGACAGTTCCTAATTCTGGATCATGCCTCCGAGTGTTGCTATGTCGTTTAACCGACCAAGCGTAGTGTGACAATACAAAACTCAACTGCACATGTCCCACGTCGCAGAAAGCCGTAAACAAAAAATCCCCCCAGAGATCTCAGTATAGAGATTGAGCTGTAGCTAGTGCTAGATTCTCTGCCAAATCTATGCATATTGGCTTACTGGAACTTAGTGACCACTGTAGAATTACAATTGGTTTCAAGTGGAACCCCAACTTTGTGTGTTTCAGGAAATTGTGGAAAGTTTGGTGATCTAATGCTTTCTTCAGTTGGATGATGATGATGCTTGGAATTGACTAGCGATTGTTGACCAGAGGATTTGGTTAAAGAAGCATTACCTGACATCGAATTATCGAACCTTCTCGGGGGGTCTAGCATCGAGTGCAATCATTGTAAATTTCACTATCATCGCTGTGATGTTCGAGTCTAATACGCATGTGAGATGTTACTGTCACAGGAACGGCACTAACAAGAAATCGATTTTGGCTTCACAAGCGGCAAGGAGTGGTCCTTGGAAACGCCTCGTGCCGTCGAGCATTCCATGTAAAGAACACTCCTAACAATGGAATAATAAGAATTGGATGTTGTGTCACGGACCATTACCTGGTCTGGAAAAGAGGAGCCACTTTAAGCATAACTTTTGGTTTTTAGACCTGTCTTTATCTCTCTGCCTTCCCCTCTTGTCCAGTAAACTAATTGCGTGTCTTCATGCCTAATTGTTGCTAACATGCTTGATGGTCGGACTAACAAAGCTATCATGGACCACATTAAGGATTTCATGATTCTGTTCGTGTCCAAGCGTGCTCCACCACTACCGTTTCAGCCGTAGTGGGCGGCACTGTACAAGCATGTTCTCACTAAGCAGCGCGGAGGCACTACCGCTTGTTGCTTTCACAAACTCACTAGTCTCTCCCTCCAGCAAACCAGATATCACGATGGCACGACTGTCGATCGAAAGTCGCGTTAGTGGTTTTCCTTTGGATATCTCATCGAGCAGATTCCTGACTTCAACGGAGTAGTGAATACACAATTCAGTCAGTCGTGGATATCCCAATTAGCTTGAGAAAAGGTGTACTTTCTTATGTACTGGTAATGCCATTGACATCTTTTGTGATAAATGTGACGATGTTTTCTGCATGGAATTGAAACTTCAAACTTGTTTTTGCCCAAAAACAAAAAATCACTGACGTGTTTACACAGGAATGAGTTGGATGGAATTATAATTCGATTGTACAATTGGACATGACATTTAATCATCAGTCCCAAAAGTGGACGAAGAAATTCCAAGTGAAGATGCGAAAGTTGCAGTAGTGTCTCCACTGAGGTATCTCTTGAGTCGATCCAAGTCATCGGCGGCATCGAGCATTGTTGGCCTCGTGGACGGCGAATCCTGCGTGCAAAGGATGCCCAACTCTATGAGCTCTGCAATGGCGACCTCCCACATCTTCTGCACTTCAGGAGATTGGTCTCTTGAAGCTCTTAACAATGAGGAGTCTATGATCATTTCAGCCCTCCCATGGTAATGGCTCTTGACCCATTTGTGCAAGTTCAGTCCCCCGGCGAACATATCATCGGTCGGTCTCCTTCTAGTCACCATCTCGAGGACCAGAATGCCAAAGCTGTAAACATCTCCCTTCGTAGATGTGTTCGACCCAAATCCGTACTCTGCAATAAACGTTTAAACAATGTCGGGTAGTTTTTGACAGTTTGAAGCAAGTCCATCAACATATACGTAACTGAAAAGACTAACGAACATTTTTTTCCTGAAAAAGCAATCAAAGGTACTGAATTTCTCTAGCATTGAACAGATCTCCAATGCGCAAATCTTTAGGATCAATGAATTCTGTACAGGAGATCTTTACCTGGGGCAATGTATCCGATAGATCCACATAGCAAATTTGCCGTGGAATTTCCCATGTTCTCGACAAGCGCTGCATTTCCACCTCCGGACGACATAATCAGCCTCGCTATTCCGAAATCAGAAACCAATGCAGTCATGTCATCATTGAGAAGAACATTGCTCGGTTTCAGGTCGCAGTGTACGACTCGAACTGGGGAATGGTGATGCAAATAAGCCATTCCTTCGGCTACGTCGCTACAGATATTAATCCTCTGGATGAGGGTCAAATCAGAAGATCTTGAGATCAAGCCCGTTCCTGAAGGAAGATAGAGATGGCTATCGAGGTTCCCATTTGCCATATAAGGAAGGACGATAGCCTTGAATTCCGGGAGGCTGCAAGCAGTTATTATCCTTATCAGGTTCCGGTGCCGGATCCTCTTTAGCACTTGGCATTCCCTGTTAAAACTCTTGGTGGAATTTCCGGATTGGACATGCAACACCTTCACTGCTATGACCGTTCCATCGGGAAGAACTCCCTTGTATACACGTCCATAACTGCCCGATCCGACCAGGCTCTGGTCATCAAATCCACCAGTGGCATCTGCCAGTTCTTTGTACGTGATTCTTGGAAAATTGCACACCGGATCTGGTGTCTTTGGCGTGCTTATCGATTCAGTCTTCCCAGAAGAAGTTATGATCTTGAAGCGCCGGTATCCAATCACGCAGCAAATAGTCGACAGGCATGATGATGCAAATATGACCACGATGAAAATGATCAAGAAAGTGCGTGACCGGAACCAAGTTTTCTTTCCAGAGCAAGCAGGTATGCCTAGAATCGTGCCGCACAGGCACTCATTCCCCAAGAACGAGAGAGAAGTGACAGATTTGAAAATGCCTCCTGATGGGATCATGCCTTGGAAGTTGTTGTATGAGAGATTAAGAAATCTCAGAGTCTCGATCTTGTTCAGGCTCGCAGTGATGGGCCCGGAGAGCCGGTTCCAAGAAACGTCGAAGGACTCGAGGTTCTTCAGATCGCCCAAGGAATCTGGAAGGTGCCCTTCGAGCGAGTTGTTCGATAAATTTATCTCTTTCAGTTCAATGCAGCTCAATATCTGATAGAAGATACTTCCGCTGAAGTTGTTCGAGGAGAGGTCCATGGCTTGTAACTTTTCCAGCTTGCTGAGCTCAATTGGTAGAGGGCCTTCAAGATTGTTGTGAGACAGACCTAAATACATTCTGATCTCATTAATGCCCAGCAACAGCTCTGGCGGAATTCTTCCCGATAGTTGATTATGCGACAAATCTAGCTGGAACAATTGGGACAATCTTCCCAGTGACGGCGGTACATTTCCTGAAAGGAGATTGTTGTTGAGAAAAAGTGACCTCATTTCAACCATATTCGCCAGACTTGCCGGGATTTCCCCAAAGAATTCGTTATAAGACAGATCAAGAAGACCCAAACGCGGAAGCTGGCTTAATACGGTCGGAATTTTGCCTCTGAACGAGTTGCGAGATAAGTAGAGCCGATCCAGACTCAACAACCCCTTAATCTCTTCCGGGATCGATCCGTTGAGGAGATTCGAAGATAGGTTCAACAATAAAAGCTTGGAAAATCTGCCCACGGCCGGGGGAATTGGTCCAAAAATTTGATTCTCTTCAAGTAACAAGTTTTTTAAGGTAACACTAAGTTGGCCAATGGAATTTGTCAAGCTCCCTCCTAGGTCCATGCTTTCCAGTTCGATGTCGAGCAGACGGGTGCAGTTTGCTAAGGATGTGAAGAAAATGTCAAGATTGGTGTTGTCTTCGTGACTTTGCATTTTATTGTATGAAAGATGAAGATACTTGAGTAAAGGAAGCCTCTCCACAATATCTGAAGGGAGCGGGCCTTCAAGATTGTTACTTTCTACATCGATGTTGAACATTTGCGAAGCATTTCTTAGAGAGATGGGTAAATGGCCCGTGAATTGATTGTTGTACAGACTAAGGCTATAGAGATTACGACAATTTCCAATCTCTAGTGGGATCTCTCCATAGAGGGAGTTCGTTGAGAGGTCTATATTATCCAATTTGGTGCAGTTAGCAAAGAGAGAGACTGGAAGTGTACCTGTCAACTTGTTATCCCATAGAAAAAGCGTACGAAGATTGGTTAAAAGAGCAAATGAATGCGGTACAGGACCCCCTAGATTGTTTCCTTGGAGGAGGAGCACGCAAAGGCGTCGAAGGGACGAAAGCTCGGGAGGAATCGTCCCGAAAAAGTGATTGTTTGCAAGGCTCAAGTTCCGAAGGCCCGTAAGATTCGATAGAAAAGGCGAGAGCCGCCCCGCTAGGCCTTGGCCTTCTAAGATGAGATACGCCACCCGGTGACGCTGTGCATTGCAGATGACTCCAGTGAAGCTGCAGACATCAACTGTTTCGTTCCAGTTACCAAGCATGGAGTTCGGGTTGGATCTGATCGTCTTCTTGAATTCCAGAAGAGCGGCCCTGTCTCCAAGCAGCGAGTGGTGGGGGTGCGGATGAGAGTGACTCGGGGGACTTAGAGCAGCTTGAGCTTGACCGGCAACAAGAAGCCAGTGCTGCGCTAGTGCAAGAAATATGCAGCTAATAAGTAACATTTTTTGGTTCCTTCAATTTCGCAAATCACATCTTGCTACGGCAAGAGTGATTCGGCAGAGGCAGAATAAATCAGCACAATGAGAAAATCTGTACTGGCACGTGGGGCGGTGTTTCAGCTGCGTGGACGAGCAGAGAAGAATGAGTAAATAGGAGAGTGGATGCTAGCGAAAACATGAGATGGATGGATTGAGGGGAGGTGGAAGGAGATCTTTCTATGAAGAAGTTTCAACAACGGAATCGATGGCCCGGAAGAACTAAAAAGGCAACCTCTCCCTTCTCCTAGTGATGACTAGATTATCAACTCAACTCCACAACTGCATTCAGACTAAGCAAGGAATAGAAAATGGGCTCGTCGTTGGTGGATGTTACTTTTTCCATCATAGAAGAAACCTCTATTTTGATTTCGTGATGTTTTAATCACTCACACATCCGCTCAAAAGGAGATATGCAGCTTTGACATTTCTGCTTGTTTGACATTCTTATCAATGTCAATGGCTGCAAGTTGTCTCCATGTTCACTGGATCAAGTTGATTGATTTGTTGGGGGAGTGTGGCCAGTCAAATATCAAGAAGACAAGCTCCACGAATCTCTTGTTGGCGATGCTGTTAATGCGCTTCTAATCATCTCTCATCTGCAGATGGTGCTTTAGTGGGATTACAGCCTACTGACTCCACATCTCACTGTTTCATACTCCCAGACGTGCTCAAAATATTAACTGAAACTTTTATCTGATGACAAGTGTTCCAGAATCTTAGAATACATTACCAATCCAGGTGCCTCAGCGTTAGTCTTAAAGAGGGGTGTGGATTTTTGAGGTTCCACACAAGCTATCAGTTAAATTAAAGTAGCCTATGCAGACCTGATTTGTCTATCCAATCACCTGGAGTTCCCTTATGATTCTTTTTCCAGCACAGTAGACGCTTGGTCGCGTGGAAACTGCATGTCTAGGTAGCTAAGAATCATTCAATTCAGTAGGATTGCAAGTGAAGTCTGGTATGGCATAATGGCGATGTCCATGCTTTCATAATTCATATCGAAGTAGTCTCTGCCATTCTCCAAAGAGCTACAAGGAGAGTGATGGATTATAGTTCATGAAATCCAAGCAACCTGTTCAGCTGCCCAGCGAGACAAGTATGAAATCGACCTATATCAACCATGTCGCCCATAAGTAGATGTCAAAGAACCCTGTTCAGCTGCTATACTGATTATTGCTTGAAAATATCTAGAAGAGCCCTAGCAACATCAATTGTTTTGTCACAGACACAGAATAATCCATTTAATGATGGTGTTCTTGAACAGCCTGGCCAGTGATCGCCAGTTCAACCCTTAGACAAACTATCCTCCCAAGACAAAGAAACCACGTCCAAACTACACCAGCATCGTTTCACAATATGTAAGGCTGCTTCCGCGTGGGATCCGATGTAGATGGTTCCAAATTGGAGCTTACCCTCCTACGCTTGGCACGGCGGTACATCAATATGCTCCCCAGCATAGTCGCCTCAGCGGCCCTGCACTGCACTAAATGGGGCCACCACCATGAGAAGGATTCCGAAGCTCCACAGAACAAGTTTACTTAATTATTCGTACTTTCTATTCACTCGGCTAATCTCAGTGTGAACTTGAACTGGTTAATAGTTGATTAGGCGCTATTCAAGGTACAGCAGCAGTAAGTACGTGCAGAAAAACGTATGATCCAGTGCAGGCCAGATTCTTGTATCTTCTCATGCCAGAGCTTAGCCATGTTGTTCCTGGATCTACTTGACTTGGCTCTTCACCCATGCCCATTCTTGTCCCAGTATGTTCCTCTGTTTGAGGATACAGCAGAGCACCGCGAATGCTCAATTTGGCAGTCTTATGTTACGACGCTGGCTTTGGGAGCAGCAAAATTGCAGATTGTGTGTGCTCAACAAGCATTAAAAATTATTGGCCTTGTGGGATCCTCCACTCAGTCACATCCACTAGGGGAATGTCACCTTAAACTCCTCTCATTCATATCCTATGTGAGATTCTCTTGTTATCTTATGTTTAAAGGAGCATCCCCAAAAATTAAGAAGAAAATACAAATTGTGATAAGTGAATGGCCCTTTGCTGCAAATGTTGGGTAAGTGAACTGGCAATGACAAAATCATATCATGTTCCTTGGAAAATAAAAGGAAGAGTCAATAGTCTGAGGCAGTGTTTTTTATACTTCAACAAGAAATCGAACCGGACTGACGAGTGCACGCGGTTGAACCACATAACGTGTGTATTCAAGTGCGCATATGAGAGATAATCCACATATACAAGTTTATACGTAGATGAAGTTAAAACAGGACATATGTGCTAATGGAGAGAGTTTTCTTTATTTGCAAATGGAGACAAAATACTGTTGAAGTTGAAAGGACCTTTGGATTTCAGTGAACAAGCAAGGGATGTGTATTCAATAAGGTACTTGCATGGACCAAATAGAAGGAGAACAATTTAGATGACATGAGTACATCAGGATGATTGGGAGGACCTAAGTGCAGCATGAATAAATTGGAATTCGATAAAATTATCGAGTCTGGAAAACTCATTTTGTAGAAGAAGTTCACGCTACATAACGGAGTTAACAATGATGTAGCTAGCAAGGATCACCTAGAGGGGGGTGAATAGGTGATCTAAAACAATTTTTAGTAATTTATGCGGAAACAAAATAAATCACAGAAGAGTCTGAATAAAATTCAGATTCAAGACAGATTATATAGACTGTGCTCTTGATGTGCGAATGTAAAGTAAGAGATAAGGGATAGAGAATCTGCACACAAGTTTATAGTGGTTCGGCTTATAGCAAGCCTACGTCCACTCTCCCACGCTTACGCCCTCTACCGGGCTGGATTTCACTATGTAATCAAGAGGAGTTACAACTTCTGAGTGTTTACACTCTTGTGTATGATAGGACTCTCTATCTCACACAATCACTCTTACAAAGTGTTCCTCAAGATCTTAATATTTGGCTCAGAATGACAAGAGAAAAATGATTGGATTAAGCTCAGACTTTGGACTTGTTGATTCTTGATTCTGTACTTCCTTCTGCTGCTCGTTGATCTCCTTAAATACTCCTCTGCTTCCAAACTAGCCGTTGGACAGCTTTCAGAGGATCATCTTCCAATCTTTACCTTGGACAGATTTGTATAGTAAGGATTGAGTAGCCGTTGGTTGACAGATTCTCGAATCCCGCCGATTCTCGGTCGCCCATACAATCGAATCTTGGTTTCCATAAGTAGAACTTTGTCCGTTGTAATGCATTCTTGTCATGATGTTTGATTGTCAATCGCTTGATTCGATTGAGACAATCGAACATTCCTTCGTGAAATCCATGCCGATCACTAGCCGTTGTGTTACGTTCGAATTCAAGCGTCCGAAGATATTCTCGCGTCCGCATCGAAGAACTCCTGCGTCTCAGTCCTCAAGAATTTCTGCGTCCGAATAATTTCTTCTCGTCTCGACGAATTTCTTCGTCAATAATTTCTTCGTCCGCATCTCGCATCTCGAATAACTTCGCATCTCGCATCTCGAATAACTTCGCTTCGAATCTCGTAATCTGCGATTATGTGGGTCTTCGAAATATACTTGACAGATTGTAAAGTCTCGAATAACTTTCTTCCGAGCTTCCGAATATACGACACTGGAATAGTTCGAATAAGTATCGATTTACAATAACATAGAAGGTTTTGTCAACTTCAAAATTAATAGGAGTTTTCCTCAACAATCTCCCCCTTTTTGATGGTGACAAAACTTTCTTTGCAGATTGAATTATTTTAAACATATTAAGCTCAATAAACACAGATTGAAATAGCAAACTCTGTTGATATCTGTGTCTTTCTTCCTTTGAGAATAACCTGTAAATCTGCAATATGATTTCTTCCCCTTTTTGTCATCAACAAAAAGAATAGTAATAGATAGAATAATGCATTGATATTAAGTAATCAATCAGTCTAACAATAAGTATGAGAAATATTACAGACCAATTGAAAGAAATAGAGAGAAATGTTGAAAAACAGGCTATTTTTTAGAGTACGAATCGCTTGAAAATTTTCCAATATTGAGACAGCCTCCTCAATCTTCGAACTGCATTGACCTATGGCTTTATCCATGCTGGATGAGCACATAGCAATGGCTCCTTCTAATTCCGCTTTGTCTGCTGCTGCTTGAAGTTGTTGAGCCTTGGTGTTTTCCTCAACAATTTTCTGTAGGTTCTGCAAATTTTGCTCTAGAGCAGCCTGCTTGTCCTTTATCTCGAGCAGAATCGAAAGGATGTTCTGATTTTCAGAATGCTGACCTTGGTCATTAGCTTTTTCAGACTGATTGTACCCTGCAGCTGATTCTGGTGGAATCTCCCCTTGAACAGGTGATTGTTCTTCAGTAACATGCTCTTCATGAATTGGTTCTGAAACATTTGGAACTGGTTCAGGAACATCGGCAGTGTGACCTGATTCAAAGTGTGCTGCTTCTGCTTCATCATTTTCATCATGCAGAAGAGTTTTTCTTTTCTTTCTGTACACTTTGATTGGGGTTGGAGAATCAGTTTGCTTGCTTGCTGAACTAGTTCTTTTCCTTTGCTCCTTTTCTTTCTGAACTTTCTTGCCAACAGATTTGGCCTCTGACTGTTGAGCCTCTTTCCTTTTTACTATGTCCCTGATATCTTCAAATTTCTTCATTTTGGAGAGCATTTTTTCTCCAACAAACATAAGGGGAAGCATAGTTTCTCGCAACTCACCAGGAATAGATAAATTGAGATACATGAAGATACGAGTGATCAAAGCTCCATATGGCAGATGACCCTTATCTTTCTGCAATGCTAGGTACATATGGAATATTATGAGGTGAGGAAGAGAGAAGGATTGACCTGTCAAGATAGCCCAAATGAGCTTGATCTCTGATTTCGAAAGGTCAGTTTTTGAGGCATCCTTTGGCTTTAAACAGTTGATGATGATCTTATGCAAGATCACCGATCGTCTTGATAAGTCAGAATAGGAGA